TATATATAATAAAGAAAGAAATAGTAAGATAATGAAAGATTTGTAGCAATGGATGAAGGTACTGAAAGCATACTCTGTGAAGGATATTTTCTGCATCATTACTATGAGACATTTAAAACCTAAACCACCCTCTATTAGCAGGTTGCTAAAAGTAGTGTATAATTGGAAGTGGGAGAATGAGTAAAGCTTAAAAGCACTGTAATTTTTTCATTTCTAATAACAGTTTTGTTGCATTAGGATACTGCTAGCGGTACGCAAAATAATTTGTTTTGTTGGAGAATAAAATAGACTCTTGGGTAAGTATTATTTGCCATCTGTATGCTTTTATTCAGTTCTAATCCAGAGATTAAATGAATACTTGATATTTTAATTTGCTCTAATAACTTAATTTTTTTTCCCCAGCTTCCTTACATGGGATATTCAGATTCTTGCTCTGAAGTTCCTGGGTATTAAATAAGTGACGTATCCAGTCAGCAGATAGAGGGAAGCAATACAGCCTGTCACAGCCACAGAGATGGAGTTGAGTATTTTCAGATTTGTAACCACCTCTGGAGCAGCATTGTTTTGTCTGATCTTAAACAGAGGAGTTGTCTAAATAAAAACACTTAAATATAGAAGCCCTTAAGGAACATACGAGATTAATTCACACTCAGTCTGTGGGTTTCTATCAGCAGACGTTCAAAATACAAGCAGCAAACAGTTATGTGGTTGCTTCACAGGAGATGAGTGAACTGGGATGCACACATCCTATCCCATCCTGCAGTTAGGCACTTTGGAACCTCCACCATTTGTCTTTATACGTTAGGACAGAATAAAACTGTTTTTAGCTTTGATCAGTGGGTTAGAATAGAATTTTGGTTTGATCCTTAGATAACATAATAATTGCAGTGGAACTCCAAGTACAGCTACATTGAACTCTGATGTACAGTACCACCATTTGGCCAGAGAATTGAGAACAAGAACTACCCTGCTGACTCCCGATTTCCCATCTGAGTCCTTTCAGACAGGATTTATCCTGGGGCAACATCAGTTTTCTATATCCTAAAACAACAAGTTATGGGAGTGCATTTTAATGTTACGGAACAAACAGGTATGACAGTGAATCCAGGCTGCTTCCCATTCTGTAGGCACATTTTCACTATCCTACAGGTCAGCATTTCCCAAAAACAGATTTTACACAAATCCATATTTTCTTTAATATCTCCATCTTGAAACCAAGAATGATGGATCATGAAAAGTCATGTTTCTTCCTTCGGGGAGTCAGCACTTCCCGCTAACAAATAAAATATTCTGCTTTAAAAAAAATCCCTGACCAATTTTCATTATTCCCCTTTAACTTGTAAGTGGTGCAGGTTTTTGTCTCGAGGATAGCAAACTAGCCCGTTCATGAACATGGACCATCTTCCTTCTTGTACACCAACTTCAGAGGGCAGCTCATGACTTACAATAGGAGACTTGAGCAGCAGTCTTTAAATTTGGTAACACAGCATTGGAAAAGGCTTCATTTGTCAGGTTTCATACTACAAAGCCCCTCTTCAGCTTCTTACAGGGCACTGGGAGACACGAGACTGCATCTCTCCAAAGAGCAGTGCCACAGTATCATTCTTTTGGCAAGAGCCACTACTGAGTGCAGCTGTGTACTTGTGTGAATAAGAAAAGGCTTGAAGGGAAGCAATGCAAAAGCCGCTAGAATTTAGACATTGGCTTAAGGCTTTGAAATTTGAGAAAATAGTAATGAGTGCTTTCTTTCCAAATCCAGAAAACAACAACTTGAAGGCTGGAGTCTGTCAAAGTCCAGACATGTGAGGGAGTACAGGCAGACAGGACATTTTCTTTGGTGAAGGAATATGTATTACCTACACTGTTGGGTCGGTCTCTGCTGATCTTATTATTGACAAGCTGAATTACTGGAAATTGAACATAAATATTTCCAAAATCTGGTTTCCAAATTCCTCAGCTACTTCCTTTGAGCCTGTACGCGCCACATTTGGAAGTAGGAAGGGCAGACATTAAAAAAGGTCCAAATGAACAAGGCTGAAACGCACTGAAATCCAGTGACTCCTTCTGCCACGTCACATCTGTGCCCCAGTGACCTGCCTCCTCAAGAATCGCTCTGTTAAAATTACTACAGGAGTGGAAGCCCCTTAGGATCAGACCTCCTTCCTCTGCCCTTGGAAGCAGCAGCCTGAGGGCGGTCCTACTTGCAGAACACTGCCTTTATGATTTAAGAGGCTGGGATAACAACGTGGTAAATTCTGAAAAGAAACAAGATCACTATCTCAGTTGTTGTTACCACAATAGTTAGGAGCCTGACAGATCAGACTAAATACTTTGTTTTCCTTACTCCCATTTGAAAGTGATTAAAGGGAAGTTCTCTGTAGCTGAACTGAACTGAATACTTAGAGTACAAAATTTCACAATTTACTAAATGTACAGCAGATTTGGGAACACTCGGATTAGTACTGTCATATTGCCAAATACTTTTGGAGAAACAAAGGAAAAAATGCATTAATTTACTAAAATGTTTGTGGTAATTTAAATAGAGTCAAATAAGATAATGGGGAGAAAAATGCTTGGTTAAATCCACTTTTTTTGGGAGAACAACCCTAAACAATTGAGATCTGAATCTGAGAAAGTTATTTTGGAACAGACCCTATATTTAATTTTTCTATAAGAAGATGATTACCGAAATGTGTGGCATGAAGCCTGAGCTAATGTACACTGATACTCATATTAGGAAGCTCCAGCTTATTCACTTGCAGTCAAAATGTTTCTTAAGATGAAAAACAAAAGTAAAAAGTTCAAAGAAAGAATCCCAAAAGGTGAGATGTCTTGCAGACAGCACTTTGCTGGTACTCAGAAATGTATGTTTGATACCAGTACGAGCCTGCTAACTACTGCAGTCAGAGAATCTCACCTTCGCCTCAGACTTCTCATATTTGTATTCTTTGTAGAACATTTTAGTATCTGTTGAACAGAAGTGTCTTATAAAGCCTTCAGGTGATTACGTGTAACATGTAATCATTCTTCCTAGCCTTTGCTGCATCAAGCACAGAGGAGACAACAAAAAGCAAGAGATTGTGGTGCTCTAGAATAAACACACTTTTATCTAGAACTCAGTTTGGCTTACCTAGAATCCACAGAGTGACCTGAAGTCTTCCATCGTGAGGCTGCGATTACAAGGTCTTTGACTATAGAACCTTCTCTTACGTAGCACCTCTAAGATGACAGATGCATTTAAGAGTATTGAAACCGGTATCTATTGCAAAGCACCTTCATTCAGGTTCACATGGAACACAGCATTATCAACAAATGAATGCTGCAGAATAGTCAGAACAGGCTCTAGTCCCATCCAAGGAGAAAACTGGAATGTAGCAGCAGATAAAGGGAAGGAGACCTTTTACACTGCTATCAGCGTGGTATCTGTCTTCCAGTATAAACTGTTTGGCAAGTAGTTTCTAAGTTGTAAGAATTTCCAATACAAAGCCTCAGCCTAGCAAGTTTCTTTTAATTTTTAAATGTACAGCATTTTAGTTCTACAAATGTAAAAAAAAAAAAAAAAAGAAAAAGAAAAAGAAAACAAAAAAAACCTTTACAATGTTTTTTTCACTTATAATGATCAAAACCACCTTGATTCAATAAAATTTGGTATGCAGTTAACATGGCCCAATTGCTTTTGATAATGCAAATAAAATGGCCGAGACATTGAGCTTTAAGACACAGCATATGCAGTAACTATGACAAGAGTTACTACACGCACTGCAAACGGGTGTTTAGGAAGTGCTGCTACAGATCACCAGGTAAGTACACACTGAACGTAGTTCACATCCAGATGATACACTGTCGTGTGTCAGTCTACGCTGCCAGTTTTTGTTGCTAGAGGGAAAGTTTTGTTTGAAAGTACTACCCCCCAAAAATTACTAAGTGCGAGGCAAGGTTATGACTCAAATTATAAGCAAACAAGGAAACTTAAAAGTAGAGACTTAAACTTTAAAATCATACCAACCTGTTGTGCCAGGTTTCTTGTCATAATCATAACTTTAGTTTAAGCTCCCATTAATACAGTTGCACTAACACACTGTGGCACAAATAACAAATGTACCCACATTACTTTTGAATTTCCTTGGCCTTGCCAGGTTTTCACATTCTCCACATTACTAAATAGTAGTTATTTATATGTAAGTGATAACCATTGTACAGTTACTCCATAGCTTTACAATACTGCCCGTACTATTATCACAAGCATTACAAATCCTATTAAAAAAAGCAGCCCCTGTAGTGGCATACAAGAATAAATTAACCAAAAAAAATTTAGTATTACCATTTATTGGTGACAAACACTACGTTTTACTTACATTCCATGGGGAGAAAAAATTCCAGCGTAAACAATGAACTGAAGCAGTACTTAACTTGCAAGGCTATCGTGCTTTACCTGGACCATATGCAAAAAACTTTATTGCACACAGTTCAGTGCGCAATAACACAACATCAAAAGCAACACAGTTTATATATAAACATAGGTAATTTTTTTCAGCCCTACATGGAGATGTAATTAAACAGTATAAAGCACTCAAGGAAAATCAATCTGCGGTTTTATATGCACTACATTGAGATCATATCCTGTAATGTAGTGAGCTGTGTGCCATCTGTACACACAATCGTTAAAACATAGATCAGAGATCATTTAAAGTCATGTTGCATTCAAGTTCCCCTACCCCCCACTCGAGAAAACTAGAAATTAACCAAAAATGATCAAAGTTTAAAATTCCTAAAGTGTTTTAATTCATTCAACCGTTGGATAATTAAGCTAAGCTTGCGAAAATATTGGACTTTTTAAAATGGTGGGCACACAATTTGTTTCCAGTGAAACTTTGCTATTTCAATAAAAACAAAATAACCACATACATGGATATGATCTTCCCAAGTTAGTTCACAGATAACATGTCAGTCTCAGAAGACAAAGTTTCTAAACTGTGCTATTGTTCTAGATACAATTAAGAAACTTTTAAATGAAAAATTTATAGTGTCATTTCAATCAAAACAACATAATAAAACTAAAAATTTATCACTGTTTGAAGAAAAAGCAACGGTTATGATTTAGACACTACAGTAGGTTGTAGAGACTGTAGCACTCTAAAACAGTTAGGTTACATTAATAGGAAGCATTTGATTTTCTCTGGTGCTTTCAGGTTTGGGTCCAGTCAAAAGCCTGTTTAGGCAGTGCTGTCCAGTGTTTGTCCCAAAGTGTTTGAGTTAGCCGGTTTGAGAAGAGGGTCACTTTCCATTTCTTGTTTCACACATCTACAAATGAGAAAACACCTGTTACTTAGGAGATAAAACAGTATTGCCATGAATAAGATGCTTCTAAATCAGATACAAAGAATTTGAGGTGCACAGAACAATTTGCTTCCACATAACTGGCCTCCATTTTTAACCAATTAGCACTGTGTTAATCCCACCATTTTGACAGCTTATTATCTAAATGAGATGCTAAACTCCCCCCCCCCCCCCCCCCCCATCAAAGGGAGTGATTTGCAAGCCCTCCACGTCTCTGCTGAAAGCAAGCTGTGAAACCTATACATTGTTTACATTTTACATACAGACGATTACTAGAAAGAGAGGAGCAGCTGTAACACTTAAACACACTGAGAAGTCACACAATTTATAAGTCTACATAAACAAATAGTCTAAGCAGAGGGACCACAGTCAGAACTGCTCGGTCTCACAGCCATGACATTTTATCCACTTGCTCCTGCTTAGTAATTTGCATTTGACACACAAAAATTACAAGCTTGATCATAAAACCTACCCTCTCGTCCTTCTGAAGGAGATACCAGCCCTTGGCATTTTAGGTTTTCTGGCAAAGGAAAAAACCCTCACATTTTATTTGTTTATAGAACATCATACGGTTAGAGGTTTCCATTAATGCAAGGGAAAGTCAATGGGTCACACTCACACAGACATTGGTCCATTTCCCGTTCTTGGCATCTCTGTGGTTTGTTGGTCCAACTCAGACAGCAACTTTAAAATATTCAATGCAGCCTAAAGAAAAGAGAGAGCATTCCACAATTCAACCTGAGTCTGTTTCCTTAATTTAGTGAAAGCAGGAGCAGGACTCATTTAAAACAAAGTAAATGTGCTAATTTGGGTAATATATATATTTTTAAGATGCACAGTTATGGTGGAAAAAATGCAATGGTGTAGAATTTCACCTTGCTTCATTAAACAATTGAATGGTTCTGTGGCTAGGGGATTTCCATGGCATTAGTTTTAGCAATGGGGGGAAATTAATTCAGCAGTACTATTAATATCAAGGAAAAAGACACTAAACTAGTAATGGCTCAAACTATGCAGAGCTCAAGACAAAGGACATTAAAATACACAGAACCAAAAAGTCCTTTGCAGAAAAAGAAACCAAGTTACACAAGAATCAAAAATACAACACAGGGCATGTGCGACTGTTTAGAAGAAGAGTCAGCGTGACATGGCGAAGGCAAAAGTAAGTCACCTCATTTGAGAACTGAATTTTTTTTTTCAACATTATTCAGATCAATTTCAGGTGCACCTTTTCAGAACATCCCTGGTTAGTTATGGCACATGCATTAGCGAAAGCTGAATAACTGAACAGAGGAAGGTTCTCGCCTCAGCCCAGTCGCAATGTTTAAGCTCCGAACGGGCCGTCCTTTTCCCTACCTACTGCGCTGACTTGTGTGCTCAGTCTTACAGGAGCTCTCTACAGCAGGGTGTAGAGATGGGTATGAAGATGTTAAAATTAAGTGACAAGGATCTAAGAATTCTGTATCAAATTACAGCCATTAGAAAATTACTGCAAAATTTTTGAGTATAAAAATCAGTAACACCAAGTTTTTCTAAGTGGATTTACATATTGCAAACTCTTACGTTAGTCTGCAGTCAGCACTCGGGTCACCACTGGATAGCAAAAGCATGAAACTCTTCTCCAGTCATAGCAGGCTGTGTACATATTGTTAGCAATATGTGATGTCTTTTACAGACAAAGTCCCTTACAGTTTGCAGTCTGGAAGACTCATTCTTTCACAAAGAAATATTTCAGCTACTGTTAATGAAAGATCTTATTTATAAAAGGAGCTTAGCAGATTTAGGGCATCTCCTGCTATCTAACGGTGAATTGCATTTCTTCCACTGTGGATTCCGTCCAAGCAGAACGTCTGGTAACGTGAACCCACATATTACAGTTCCCTATGAGACATCAGCCTGTTCTGTCACAGAAAATGAGGCGATAGGATCTTATTTTCATACATTTTCTTTAATATGGGCTCATGCACATAATATCAAGATAAAGCAAATGCGTTTTTTGTAGACCAAAATTGTGAGCATATATTAAGCATTTTAAAGGTTATTTAGATTAGGTTCTGATATTATTAATCAATTATTTCAGCAACCTGTGCAGTATTAGACAAAAATTAGCCAGGGAATTGTACAGCATTGAAGTCATTGCTGCCCAGCAGTAATATGAAACCTTGGTCTATCTGCTGCATCCCTTAGTTCACTGAAGGGCAAAGAGAAAGCATGTCAGCAATATTCATCGTACCATATCGTGGCAAGATTCTACATCCTTCCCAATTCCATGGCTGATCAGTGGTGGCTGAGAGGAACAGTTTATGAGAGATACAAACTCGTTCTTGTTATTTTTTGGAAAGTCTTTATATTCAACCTGAAGAGAAGAGAAGAGAAGAGAAGAGAAGAGAAGAGAAGAGAAGAGAAGAGAGATTTAGTTCTTTTCAGTTAACCAAATACAGGAAACATATAACAACTGTTATAGATTATTTGCCCATATATGAAGCTGAACCTTACTTTTAATCATTCTGTCAGCCAGCAGAACTATTTACTTTGAAGTTTGACTTTACCTGCAATGTTTTTTAGCAATAATCATGAGGGCTCTGTAAGCCTTCTAAATCAAAGTGGCTACTTAGTAACAATTTTATTCTGATCATATCTACCTGCATTTAAAATCTTCCCTATTATACTTTTTAATCCATTGACCTCCTTTAACATATTAATATAGGAACTTACATGCAATTCTGATTAAAGAGACCAAACACAAGAAAATGTACAGCTTACAGCAAATGATAAAGTACGAAATATTATAAAAAAAAATTATTTCAGATCAGTCAAGTTCAAGTTCATACTATGTTCCTATATCATGACAATTTTCAGAAAATGCTACTTTTTATTTTATTCTTCCAAGACTTCAGAGTAGCACTGAATTAAGGCTGAGGATACAGTACAGAAATGCACATTTGAAAACTAAACTAAAAAAGCTATAAAATTCAGTACATTTAATAGGTAAAGTAAAACATTTACATGAATTTCAGCTTAACAAGCAGCCTCAGAATACATGAGTCACCAGCAGAACTAAAAAGCTTTATGGATAGCTTTGGAAGAAATCCTGCAAAGCTGAACATTTACCTGGATTCCTTGAACATTGGAAAGATAGTCCAACTGCTCAGAGGGCCTAGTAAGTGGTCCATGGGGTACGTGGCCTGATGAGTTGTTATTCTTTAATATGGTCTCAGCAGTAGGAGAAGTACCACCATACAACAGCTCTCTAGCAATCATTGCTGTTACTGTAGCCTTGGCAGGATTTGGGGCTGCCCTAGTGAACTCTTTGGTGTGGTGTCCTTGATTGGCTCCTACAGCTTGTGCAACCTCAGGGACCATGGGAAGAATTCCAGCAGGAAGCTGCTGATGACTGAGATAAGGCATCCTAAACTCATCTTCTTTATTACCTGAGAAGAGAGAGGTACATACTGGTGGTGGTTTCACTTGGCTAGCTAGTTCTATGAGGAAGAGTCTTTAACATACTGCAGCTATTCCCTCAGCATCTGTAAGGCGACAGGGCCAAACGTAACACAGCTAACTCTGCCTCAACAAATTCTGCACCACTCTCCCACTGCTAGTCTGCCTCAGGCTTAGAGTGACATTTCTGGGGCAGCCTTCCAACCTGCAACCATTCCTCCAAATCTATAAGGTTATTCCCAGGTATCAGAAACCCCAACCCTTTTCCCAGGGTATCTGCTCCCATCCTCATTTGGACCCTATCCCAGAGAAAGGTTCTGCTGAGCCAAAGAGGCTGATCTCTCCTCCTCCCCTTACCTTTTCCCCCACAGAAACTGCCCCCACTTCACTCCTGCTGTTGGTTGAAGGAGCCTCACCCCTGGATCAGAACTAAGCTCAGTCCTGAACATTCATTCTTGTCCTAGAAAGCCCTAGACACAGATTAAAGCCTGTTCCAAGATCCCCTCAGATGGAGTTAAGACAAGCCCAGACAGCTGCACCTCCACTAACTGCTCGACTGACCCATTAGCACACACATGCTTTTGGCTCAGCCATCTACTCCCTTCCCCGAGCAGGTGGCCAAGCAAGCTGAATACTGTATGACTTCAGAGGAACAGGCTCTCTGGGATTTGAAAAAAACCTTCCCAAGGGGTAGATTTACTTTACAAACCAGCAATTGCACATCTCTGCTTGTTACAGTGCATTAAAAGACACTGTTGAAGGGACTGAGACTGTATCTTACACACACACCTCCCCCCCCCACAACGGGGCCATGCTTCCTTCAGTAAGGTTACTTACTCGCTGAAGTCTCTTCAGAGCCCGGCTCAAAGAAGGTTACTTTTCTTCCATCACCTGGTTTCTTCACTGGTGTCTTAAAAATAGGAGGAAAAAAGCCAAACACACAATATCCCTTTAAAACTTTTTTCTCCCCAAAGTTTTAAAGTTTTCAAAATGTAGGTGATCTGACTAGTCAAAATTTTACGGGAAAATTTATTATTCAAAGTCAGTTAAACTAACCTTTGTTATTGGCATTACTGAGGACAAAACACTGGACACAAAAATACATGAAAAACTAAAACCAGACTTGCTGTTTTAACTCCCTGGTAACATCTGCTGAATGAACAGGAGAATGCCAAGAAAAAAAAATTCCCTGCTAAGGGACCCACCAAAGAAAGAGACCTGTGACAAATTCCTGACTGCAACTGGTGGTAAGGCTGTGTAAAGCTATTGCTATAGTCCTGTAACCTACACGTCTGCAGGTTTCCAAGACCAACACATCAATTATCACAGGTTCTGAGCCACTCTATGAAGAAAAACCACATTCATTTAGCCTTCTGATGAGACTGATTTACTTGCAAAATTGAACCCTTAATGTATCCAAAATGCACTGTTTTTTAGAGAACACTCACCTCAATACAACTGCTTCCTGGCTAGGGCAGAAAGCATGGATTTTTCTACACTGTTCCTGCCTTGCAAAGCTGCTATTGTTTCAACTTGACTTCTGCTGTAGTATTAAACAGCAGTTGATTCTTAAAGACTCTTACCTTCTCTTCTGTCTTTAATGCTGGCTTTGGAGGTTGAGGTTGAGGGACTTTGAAACCTAAAATTTCCAACATATTTTCAGCTGCATTGCGTTTAGCAACTTTTTTGTTTGTGCCCATGCCTTCAGCTGTGTGTACACCAACTTTCACCTGAACAAAAGAGGAATAAAAAGCCAAATCAGTTGTTAAAAAGTAGGATTCACTTATTGGTGATCTGTGTTTCGAGCATGCCATGAGTCACAAAACAGTTCAAGTGATCATTATCCTAAGAAAGGTGTAATTTATTAGCAATAATCACTGGCCTCCAAGCACAAAAAACCCAAAGAGAGGTCATATAAACAACTATATTTCATCATCTCACCTTGGCAACAGCCTAAACACTCAAAACTGGTACCGCAGCAGATGTAATTTTTCCAAGCTGAAGTTACAGGTTTAGCAGATTTACTAATGCAATGGAAAGAAAGCAGCTAACTTCCCTGCCTTGGTCAGGATAGGAGGGAGGTCTGGAGAAGGCACTTAGAGGCTCATAGATGCTCAGTATTAAAAATGCTGCTATGCTACTGGGATTTGCAATGAAGAGTGCGGAAAGTGCTGCACTCTAAAGCAACACATGAAAATTCGGGGGAAGGAAGAAATGAAGGATATCCAGGTTCATGTTAATAAATCCTACATTACAAAATAAAAGTAGCTCAGTATCTCTTAACAGAATATTAATATTCCTGTTAATTAAAACATTAGGCAGTTACAACAGACTTCTGGTGCCCTATGCAACTTTTTAAACGTGATTCAGATCACTTTTTGAACCTTTATCTTCCTTGAATGTAGCCCACTAGATATTTTCCTAATGAATTTAACGGAAAATTGTCTGTAATCCTTTGCATATCATCACGACAACCTGATTACTATAAGCAAAAAAAACCAAATAAAAAACATCATAGCCATGCACCTAGGTTTCCCAAATTAACATACAAACCTGCATAACAAACTCCCTGCGCCTTGGAAGACCACGTTCTGTGATGAGCATGTACTCAGGTTCCTTCTCTTTCTTGGCCTGCTGTATCTGGGCAAGTCTGCTAATGGGATTCATTCCTTGACCGTATTCTGGACTTGTCTGCAGCTATGTAGAACAATGTTTAGGAAATAAGCCGATATTTGGTTTAATAGACAAAATGCAGCGTGCCACTGAATTAATTAATCTCTAGAATTTAAAAACACTGACATAAAAGTTGCTTAATGGAACACTGTCACAGCCAAAGAGATACACTTAATTTATATGGCTCTGCTGTCACAGTTGACCATGTATAACCTACCACTGATAAGAGTTTTACAAGTTCTAATCCTGCTGTATTAGGAGAAACAGGCTTGCAGGAGAATTTGCACAAGCAAAATCATGCAAAACCCAAAGCTGTGAAATCTAAGGCTTGAAAGTCAGAACTTGATTTTTATGTGCCACTCATGTAAGCTTTCTCTTTCATCCTGAATTTACAGATAACTGTTGTAAAAGCGGTGTCAGAACCCTGTTTAGAGTGGGCACAAAATATAATTTCATTTTTAATACCAGACTGCTGTTAGATGTTGAGCAGTTGAAGAGTTTATAATTAACTCAGAAATGCCTCTCATCTGATGATTATTTGTAACAGTCAGATTTCCAATCTGTTTGTCTCTTACCTTCACTATTGATTTTGTTTTCTTTTTGATTCGTGGCTTCATTTTCTCAACCGTAGGAAGGGGTGGCAATTTTTTCAGTTCTTCTAGGACTGCTATTGCAGCATTTTTCTTTGAGATCTTCTTGCTCTTTCCTTCACCTTCACCCATGAATTCTCCAACTGACACCTTGGTTACAAAGCTCTTCATATGGGGAGGACCACTTTCCTTGGTCACCTGTTTCAGAGGGAAAAACTGAGTGAAAGCGTGATAAACACTTATTAAAAATGGTAGAGCACATTGTTTATAGCAAACTTCTCTCAAGAACTACAGATAAAGAGATTTTATATTCTCATACAATCCACAAAGTAGAGATGTAAATCATATTCACTCTAATAACATAATGCCACCCAAATAAACATAGACTTTAAAAAGATGAGTTGCAGTTAACAGTATTTACATATGTCATTCATCCACCTTATTTAATTTACTGATTCAGTTGCAGTTAACAGTATTTACATCTAAGTCATTCATCCACCTTATTTAATTTACTGATTTACTCTTTCAATATTAAAACGTGACTGTTCCATTTCATCAGTGTGTACTTCTGCACTGTTAACATCACCTCACTAAATACATCATGTGACAGTCATAGAACATTACAGAGACAGCAATTCTTTAGGATCCAGCATTTCAGTTCAGAAGTCAAGAATTCTGGAGATATTTAAGAGATAGCTGCCTACTACAGATTTAGTCTTTTAACCCCATTCATAACACCTCTTACTTCAAAATATCCATGAAGCCAAAAAGTAAGAATGAGTTAAGAACTTCCACCCACAACTGGCTTTATGTGACAGTACATTTCTACCAGTAATGCTCAGGCTAAGCTACAATAATTGAAAGCTTCACATAAAATTTCATAGGATGGTTTTAGAAGCAATTTTGTTACACGCAATTGCATTTTCTTACTATAATAATTCAGATAGTTGACTTAAATGTTACTCTGCCAGCTCAGGAAAGCAGCATGATAAATTAATATTTTAGTGAAACAGAGATGCTCCTATGGAAGCCATTGATTTAAGAGAACTAAAATGATCAAGGAGGGGCAAAGAGGCAGCAAGCAGCCAAGCTAAAGGGAAAGGAAAGCAAGATGCACATGAGGTCACCTCATGGCAAGAAAAGAAACCTATTTGTGAGATTCTGCAACTTGCGGGCAGTCCACATCAGTGCTTAATTAAGCAAATACTTCCATAAATGTCTTTCAGAGTGAGCTATACTCGTTTGCCTCGATTCTGCACTTCAATGTTCTAACCGTTAATGTGGGGTTGTGTTTTGTTTCTTGACTGTAATACTGATTTTTCAAAAAGCTTGGAAAAAAAGATTGCACAGACAACCCACAGCGTAGCTGTTCACTCATGTTATGATTTTAGTGCATGAATATGTGAACAGGTGGATTTTTCTTTTTGCTTCACTTTACCATATAAACTCCAAGACAATCAGGGTGACTGTCAAAGGTAAAAGTGTATTCACAACTAACAAGACATGTTAAAAGTCAGTTGTTTGGGTTATCTAGAAGAGACTCAACTTAATGTGTACCCTTAATATTCTAATAAAAACAAATCTAGAGCTTGTAAAATAAACATACCTCAAAATTCACAGGCAAGTTCCTTTTAAGTGCAATCTCAAAAACTTGGCTTATTTCAGATTTATTGAGATTCTCATCATCTGGTTCTTTTCCGTTAACCTAAAAGAAGCATACTCTATTTAAAATAAAGATCCTATTAAATTGAATTTTATCCATCCAACCAGTTTACTGAACTCTCAGAATTTTAAGTCGTCTAACCTTTACTGCCATTTTACGTGAATGTGTAGAAATGCAGCACACATACTACAGAACTGAAACTTAAGAAGCTCATTTAATGTGTCTGGGTAAAACCTAGCAGACCTTCACGTTTTCATGTGCTCATTACAGGAAAGAACAAATGGAATAAGGGCCAATACGTTTAAAAATCTATTTGCAGAAAAATAAACTGAAGTGTTAAATGACTGGTTTCCAAATGGAAGTACATTTATGAAATACAATTTTCATATACTGATTGGACATTTGTACCAAAAGCACTAAGACAGTATCAGATAAGAGAAAGGGCAGGAAAAATAAAGATTCTGAGAATGGGACCAACGTGAATAAAGGATGACTAATTAGACCCTGGCATAGTCCTGTCTGTTAACATGCTCCCTTGTGAGTGCTTAATCTACAGATGTTTTTCTCATCTGAAGAATATACTATCAGGAACTTGCCTTAAATCAAATGGTGTACGTCTCTAAGAGCTTACACCTCTTAGGAGGACAGCAGTGCCAGGTGAAGCTTACCTACAGGCACTTCTACGTATCTCCAGGTAAAATTTTGATTGTGATTCCAAAAATGTCTTCACTGATGTTGGGATCAACATGAACTAAGAGGCACGGTAACAGCATCAGAGAAATTTTAAGACTAAGTGTCCAGCAGTGATATTGGAAAGATTATGATAAAGATGAACAGCAACAATTTCACCAATTATATCATGCCACAATACCAGTTCGGCAACCAGGTAACAAAAATTATTTAAATATTTTATTGCAGCAGCAGCAATATGCTAGAGAGCTCTCCTTGATTAAAACTAGTTTTGATGGTAGCAAGCATCTCCAATGTCTGTTACTAATAAGTTTGATCAAAACATGAAGGCAATTTTTTTTTTTTCCCATCGCTTAAAGCAGCCTCTTCCCACCTCAGAAAAGAATATTAGTAAAATCAATCTGTGGTTTTCACTCCTCCCACTGTCCCATCAGATTTCACACTGTTCTTACGGGTTGACCTTGTAGTTCAGGTTCGAGTTGCAAACATTTCAGAAGAGCACATACAGCCCAACATCCTTTTACAATGACAACATCTGATACTTCTGATCCCACTACTCCATCCAGCCTCCAGCCTCTACATGGAGGTGTACACAGAGCAATCTTCAGGTCTGCAAAAACTGAGACCACACGATGACACCACTTCCACAAGAGCGAGGGAGATGCACTGTGCATGAGACTGCATGAGAAACGTGGAGGCAACACCCACACTAGAGGAACCAACCACACTATACCTCAGCAGAAGGCACAATGCAGGTAAAAATTGGCAAAACCAAGATTCAATAAAGGAGTCAAAAGTCTTGATCATCATATTCTAAAACCTTTTTCAAATGCAATTGGTAAATTCAAAAGGAATAGCATTATAAACTCTGAAAAAATATTTGAACTACTAAGGTCTTATTTTATTACAGTCTAGGTGCTACAGCAAGTTAATTACCAGCATCTCTAGGAACGATCTGTCACTAGCCTTGCTGTCAAAACATTAGCACAATCACTTTTATAACAAATATTTTCCCCCTCCTTGTAATTTTAGATATATTCTAGTTTTTCAAATTCTGACATTTTTTCCTTGTGAAAGTGACCAGGACTTCTCTTTATTGGATCAGATTTTTCCCATTTAATGTATTTTCAAGAGGATACAAATATATAGTATGGAATTATTTGCTATATTATGCTGTATATTTTTGATATGATTCCAAGTTTGCCCACACAGTGTAAAACATAGGTACTTTTCTTCAATACCTTTTTCTAAAAAGAGTAAATTAATAGCAAAATAACAATTAACAGACTATAGCTATTTTACTGAGTATTTTGGCTCTGCTTGAGTTCTGGATCAGTTTATTTTATAAATCAAAAATAGTCCTACACACACGCTCTCCCTCTTTCTCTTGCCCTGCACCCCTCAAGGCATCTGATCTGTAAACTCTGCTTTTAAAGTAGTTTGCATGTGTGCATAGACTAAACTCTCCAAGGAATCTATGCCTCTAAATCAGAACGAGACCACAAATATAAGCATTTACCACTCAGCTCTCATCAAATTGTTATAATCCATCTCTAACAAATAAAAAAACCCCAAAAAACTAGTCACAAAAGAAAACAAAAGCGACAGACTAAAAAACTCACAAGCAAATTGCAAAAGTCACATACTCTTTTCTTCAAGAGGGATTTGTCCTTTTCTAGGAACTCATTCAACATGCACTTCATCAAAGATAAGCAAATAATATTTGCTGATAAGCAAATTCTGAAAACCAGTGGAGCTGCTGATTAGAACTACATTGATTTCAACACAGCTATCAGTCTGGCTGTTTCCTTCTATGTTAAGGGTATAAGGAGCAGCTCATATTTACCAAATAAGACGGCAAAAAACGTAGAAGCAATTCTGGTTTTAGCATTTTCAGGCAAAAGTTAGAATTTCTGTCCAAGAACTGTGCTAGAAAGCAGAGCTTTCTATGTTTTCTAAGCTTTACATTGATGCTTTATCATCTCTATCTTTGAATATGCAAAGTAATCTCGTACTGCAACTTTGTCAGTGTGTCTTAACCCCAATCAGACTAATTTAGGTTGGAAGATCCTTTGTAGGTCTCCTACTACAGCCTCCCACGAAAGCAGAGCACACTTTAAAATAAAATTGGGTTGTTCAGGCAGGGCTTTGTCTAGTTGAGAATTAATATTATTAATTTTTTTTCCTGCCACTTGCTTCTAGATCTGCAGTCTGAGGAGGTATGGGAAATGGCCTTTCTTACCCTTAAAGTCTAATAATTTTATTTAATGATTTCTTCTTAAGCACTGAATATTTTATAATTTAAAAATAAAAGAGTAAAATCCTGTAAATACAAAAATTTATCAAAAAAAAAAAAATTACCACTCCTCCCCCAAAAATACAAGCATTCAGGCTTAAGCATGTTCTGTTTAAACACACACACACAAATGGGATACACAAAAATAACTACATTTAAAAGGAAAATTACCAGCAACATCAAATGACAGGTAGGACATATCAGCATTATGTCTGCTTGTGAAATCTTAATTTGCCTCCATTGTGTACAGGCATTATCACAGCATCTCCTATGATCTGACACTGCTGTATCCTTCAAGGACCTTGCCTCACTGAATGCAAGAATGAACAGTGCTCACTTAGCAGTAAAATCTTCCTTATTTTATCTTCATCTTGTCTAGTGCAAAATGCTGTTACAAAAACAGCAACTCCCTCAGCCATTCCTAAAACTACAATATTTGGAAGCCACAAATATTAATGAACTCAGTATTTAAGTACCAAACTTTAAATTAAGATCCGAATTATCCAAGGATTTATTATAAAACAGTACTCTCTGTTCAAAGGATTGCTCTCCTTACGCAGAGCTGGATTTCTTACTGTTCATTCTGTGGACAAGCCAAACACAAACAGAAAAATAAAATGCACGTTTCTTGTGCAAGTTTAAGTGACTTGCCCAGCATATAAATAGCAGGGTCAAGACAGCATTCGGCTCCCAGGGAGCTTGCAACTGTTTTATTCATAAGGTAATTCTCCCTTCTTGCAATCTCTTGCATCCTTCACAATAGTGTTTCTCTTATTGTGTCCTTAAAAAAGAAAAAAAAAAAAGAGAAAAAAGAGACTCTGTAGGTTTACTTTACCTCTTGATTTACACCCTTACACTATAGACATCCTATAGAACACAACATGTGGTCACGTAAAGACAATTGCAGTGTTTGTTTTGAAGACCTCACATTACTCAACTTTAAACACAACTCTACAAATATTCAGAAAGTCACTTGTACAGAACCATTTCCAAACAAGTGAACAGAAAGGAATTCAGTCACATGTGATCCTATTATTTTCTGCAGAGCCGCACTCCTTGGGTCCAGTATACTGAACTTTGCTACCTGAGACGGAAAAACGGCTGATGACAGCAAGTTATCTGTTACAAGGTGAGCACAAACTCAAACTCCACCTACCACCATGTCTAGATTTCAGTGCAGAAATCATCTCCACTCTTTCAGCTTCTATTCCCAGCATCACTCTTCTCAGCAATAGCATTCGTGATCCCTTAACTCTTAGTAGCCTCCATCATTCAATAACCTACATTCCTCCAGGAGAGCTTTCTGTTACCTGAACCATCAGTGCCTCCCAGGCCTCCTCCCTGAACCGTCAGATACTTACAGTGTTTCTGCCTAATTCTCTAGGCAATGCTCTCTCCCACAAACACACTCAGAGGTTTTAACTCAATGTCCCTTGGCTTCACAACACATTTCCTTAATCCCCTTGCTTTGCCATTCCTGGTAGTTCCCAGCTTTTATTTTTCCCCAGTCTGAGACACCTTGTTACCTTCTTGCCCAATTCTTCATTTCCCTTCTTTCTCAGCACATAGCCAGACTCCACATCTAGCAAGTCCTCATGCTCCCCAGACTGTAAGTTACCAGTGTAACCTCTCCTTCCTGTTCCTCACCTCTCTGGCAATGTCCTAGTTGCTCTTGCTTCTAGGTCTGTATTGCAAGGCCTCCCCCTCAACACAATCTAGATGCCAACATGGAGTACATCAATAGACCTCTTGTTCTTAGTTCTTCCATCAAGCCCTCATAACTCAGACAAGTACAATGAGCCCATAAAGGAAAGACTAAATATACTCTTTGTAATAGGCTTTGGCCAAACCAGTCAGCCAATACATACGGCGAGGCTGCACGCAGTCAGCCAGCTCCTGGAGGTATGAGTAACTTGTGTGGACACAATGAGACCTTCTGCCTAAAGCTACTTAACAAAAAAGCATGAAAAAAACAAACAGTAACAGGGTCTTGGAATGGAAAGTGCTGGGAAGCCATAAATATATGGAGGGATAAAAATTTGCTTCTTATCTTCATATCAAAATTTGTGTATGAGTTTACTACTTCCATGAACTTCCTGCTTTTTCAGAACTTCCATGGTTCTTTCCAAAATCATGTAGGAATTTTGCCCAGGAAGCAAACACATCTGACTTCTATGTTGCCCACACTAGAATGCAATACCCCATTTATACACTTCTTCAGATATTTGTATGTGATCTGTACCTGGTAAGATATTAGTTCCTATCTATGCTTCCAGTGCTCATATCTGACAGAGGTCTATAGCATTGCTGTGGAAAAATATGACAGCAAAAGAATTAATATAACTTCATTTGGGAAAACTCTAGTTCCATAGAAATGTATGGTTTTAAATCAAAGTGCTTCTATTGACACAAGTAGGTCAACACTACTACACAGAATTAAATTTGACAACTGTCACCTTCTGCTCAATTAGGAAAAAGTCTACAACAATATCTCAGTTTATCTTAGCCATTTGTGCTTACAACACTAAGATCAATTCCCACCTCTGGTTTCTCAGGCAAGGGCTCATTCTGCAGAACTTTCAGTGCTTTAGCAGCTGCATCATGCTTCGCAGCTTGTCTTGTTCTTCCTTTCCCATGAAACTGCTGCCCTCCAATTGAAAGCTCAACTTGATAAAGTAAGGGCCCAACAGGAAATGGGTAAAAGTACCTGCAAAGAGAGAGATTTAAATAAACAAATAGTTTGGCCTATAAAGTAAACAGAAACATAACTTAAAAGTGGATTAATCTCTTGGATATCAGTAACCACAAGTCAGCACTGAAGCACTAGTATTAAAAAGATAATTTTGATTTAAAGTCTAAAAGATTTTAGGGAGAAACCTTTGAAACAGAGTATCAGCAGTTCTTGGTTTACAATATTAACACCTTTCTAACCAACTGGAACAGAGAAAGACAATGTAACTATGCTTTTATAGACTTGGTAGTACAGCCAGCTTTGAATTCTCAATTCCTATGCTCATATAAAATTCTTTAAAATGAAGCTGTAATTTAAATAGTTTTACAAAAAGCTTCAAAATATTTTCTTTACTTTTGCTTTTACACAGAAAGGAACTGCAAGAAATAGCTATCCATTTCATGAAGCTGTCTATATCCCAGTGTCCTCAAAACCACTCCATCATTTGGTTCAGTTCTCTTTTTCCTCCCCTTCCCCTCCCCTCCAAAGAAAAAAAAACTTAAGATAAATTACAGATATTAATGGGGCGTACGTATCAAAACCTTTTGCCTCGTAAGCCGGCTATGTTTCCAGCTGAATATCCCTTTAAGGGACATTGTATTTTTAGCTGTTTTCAGAAGGTAGCATCAAAGCAGTCACAGGAAGACAGCGGAAATTCAGAGACATGAGACTGCAAAACCAAAAAATGAAGCAATACATACCGTGGAGGATAAGTACCACCTCTCATGGTATAGCTGTAAGTGGATCTCATCCCCGTGTAAGGATCAATAGGTTTGTACATAGGTTTCTTTCCCAGCTTCATGCAAAGTGCATTTAACTCCACTGTGGGGGTTACACTGTCTAGATAAAAAGGAAGAGAGAGCTGTCCAACTGTCACAAGGGACCAAAGCAATCTAAACTCTAATGCTGTCTCAAACAAGGAAAAACAAGCTCAAATTTCTGCTCTATGCAGTATCTTAAATGAGGGAATTCTGAATAGAAATATTCTGAATACAAAGAAAATAATTCTACATGATGATGATTATTAAATTAGCAGCCTAGTACAGTTGCAACAAATCCTGTCAGAAAAGTGAACCTGCAGAGGGCTTTTTAAAAATTATTATTTTGCTTTAAACTTGCAAAGCTACCAATTTATTTACTTTTACAGCATATCTAACAATGTAGTCTGCAGAACAGACATTTTTCTTCCCAAAGAAATAAATACTTTTAAATTAAATTAACAGACATGCTACATATCTTCTGCTTCTTCTGTTTACAGAGAATGATCAAACGTTTCTCTTTGTACTCAATGACCTAAGAAGGGTTTTTATGACTCTTCAATTTCAAATCGCAACTTGCTTTTTCAAAAGGAAGGTATATTGCTACTGAGGGCTATAAACATTCCTCTCGGTGCAGATATTGTGTGGATGAAGAACTGACTCACTGCCTATTCTCATTTGAGAAAGAAGTGTCAAATAATGGTCTTTTTTTCTATCAGAGGCCTCACTGGTTAAAAAATCAGCATGTATGCTAGTATAACTGTGTTTTGTTATAAGACAACTGTCAAAAGAAAGTGAAATTATGGAACAGACAAATAAGGAATTGCTAGCTTCTAATATTTTCACTGTTGACTGGGCAGAGAAAGGATTTAGGTGATAGAATGTAACTGGCACAAAAGGTAAATTTTAATCTTTGCTGAACATACTAGTGGTCTCCTAATTGCTTTGCATCCAAGTGACTAAGAGTAAATGCAAAGCAGTCACACGTGCAGCTGAGATGTGAAGACAGTTCATACTTAATTTTACACTCTAAATATATCTTAAAAGCAATCTTAGTAAAGTTAGAAGTTCCCTAAACATAGCTAACTATACCTCGAATGCTTTTACACAAATCAACAGCTATTTCTCTTTAAAAAAGTACAAATTCTAAAGTTCTTATCCAATCCCTCAACACAAATTGCAGAGTTTGTTTTTTCAAATGTAGATTTCCAAAGAAATCTTTATCATCAAGCATTTGAATTATCCTCTCAGAATTACCAAACACATTCATCTGCCCGTGCAAAAGGTTATTCTTTGTTGTGAACAAATTCCTCGTGTTTTTGTGGTTTTTTTTGTTGTTGTTGTTTGGGTTTTAATTTTTTTTTACTTAAGTTTTCTTTTTTTCAAGAGCAGGATAAACATCTTTTACAAGATTCCACCAAGTGTTACAATACTGAACAGTAAGTGTAACCAGTGGGTTCTTCAAGCCTGAATGACTTGATGGGAAAACCCTACACTTTATCTTGTTAATATGATGATTTTTTTTAACCTTGTCTACAATGACCAAAGATTAAATCAAGATGGTGTTCTCACAATACCTGACAACTGCCATTGTTAAATATGCAGAATCACTTTTTATTCATCCTTATGCAACTTTCAAATACATACCAAAACCAGAAAAGTGTATTTTTTTTTTAAAATCAGTTTGTTGTGGCACATACCTGGATTCTTGCCTTCACTACGAGATGGACGAGCCGTAGGCTTAGGGAATTTTGTCCCTTCCAAAGCTTTGGCAGCTGCCGCATGTTGCGCTTTTTTAATACTAGTTCCTTCAGCTTCCCAGTGCTGGTCCCCAAGAGTCAGTTGCACTGTAAACACCTCAAAAATAGACGACATTAATTTTATTACAAGCTGCTTCAGAATTCACGTAATGTATTAGACTATCTTACGCAAAACAAAGAATCTTTTAGCAAAGCAAAAGCTGAGAATATGGAAATCAAAGCTCTCTTCAACTATCAGGTCATCTCCAGATTTTAAACACTCTGGACATGGATAAGATTTCCCTGATGACTGAACTAAGAATTTCACAATAGTTGTAGCTAGCAACTATCCTGCGTACTGCATGACATCACCTAGGCTAAAAACCAAAAGATACAACGTGTACAGAGGCCACAGCTACATGGATAGCTGGAATGGCAACACTACTCTGAACAGCAGCCTTGAGATTCAGGCTTTTTTATTCCACAGAACTCAATTCTTGCTTTAATACTGTGTTTTGCTTTGTTGTTGTATTTTTTTTTTCCCCACAATGATATTTTTCAGCAGTTTGAAGAAAAATAAGTTCACACTGCACCACAAAAGCTTCTACATGCCCACAGGTGAGCACAAGCTTATTTGATTATAGAGCAAAGCTCTGTGGCACTTCTTCCTAAGTATGTGGGATAAGGAAGGGTATATATTGCCCTAAATTTTCACAAATTAATGAGACAACAGTAAGCCAAAGTCTCTCTGGTAATTAAATGAAGTTTTATTTCAATCAGAATGAAAACACAAGCGAACAGATGCTCAAAATGTTATTCCAATACTCTTTGTAAATGCAGACCTTGCCTCCTTTGCACATTGAAGCCGACAACACACTTATTTTGGACAGAAGATTTTAGTTCTTACTATTATTCAATTCCAAGTCAATTCCTTTAACATACAACAAACACTGTTCTGGGAAACACCTTAAGGAGACAATGCCAGATTAAATACACACATCCCAGGCTGATTTTCCTTGGATGCCTTGATCTCAGTTCTCATACAGCAAGAGATCTTCAAGGAGGATTAAAAAGGTTAATAATGCTAAAACTCTCTTCTTCAGCGTTCTCTGATGTAACACAAACTGCTTGTACATTTGCTCTGTTCCTGAAGCACTATCTCTCTGCACATGAACAGAACACCAAAGGAACTGTAAGTTACCAGGATTTGGACACATGGTGGAAGGGATGCACACCACAGGCTGCTCTACCCGAGGCACTCCTATATTACAAGGTCAAGAACTAAAAATTCTTTTGCTAAAGTAACTGTTCCAGAACAGATGAATGTTCAGTGCTGTTCAATCAAACTGTACTTCAGGCATTAAAGAACAAGATCCCTGTTTTCCAAACACTGGGCCATTAGGATAGAAAGGTTCAGTTTATCCACAACTAAACCAAAGTAACAGTAAAGCAACATTCATGTTGTCGTGCACAAGAGAGAATAACTCTTAAAAGTAACTAGTAAAATTTATTCTAGGCATATCAACAAATATAGATTGGTACCTCACTAACCACAGACACAAAAGCACTACAACTCCTTATGCAGTATGTTTCCTAAAGAAACACAATTGCCATAAATCTTCCTGCACCTAATGGGATAATTTGGACTAAGAAACTGTTTTCATCTTTTAAAGTTGGTGTGATTAACCTCAAAATATTAAAATGCACCACAGGAAGAACACCAAAAATTTGCAGAACAGGCAAGATGCACGACAAAAGCCTAACATCATACTAGAGAGCGATTGTATAAAGATCATCCATATGTAATGCAAATTTTTTTAGCATAGCCTGCAAACCTTGATTTAAGTGTAAGTCAAAGCCAAGCATTTAATAATGGAGCTAATATAAACGCTTCAAAAAAGCTGAGAAGTTTCAGGTAACAGGTAAGTTCAACCTTTACATACTTTGGGAAACCAACTTTTTAGTACACATCTAACAGCCTCACGCTTCCCTACCACCGGTACTTTGGGGAGCTTCCCATTCCTCTCTACTATTGTGTGTTATCTTGCACCAAAAGTGTGTATTTTGCCCACCCACTTATGAGAGTGAAAGAGCATTCACAGCAGCAATAAGAAACTTATATGAATATTTACCTTAGAATGAGCTGGACCTTGCTCACTCAAAAGCTTATACTCAGGCTGAATCTTGTTGAAACGGGCTAACTCATTCACAAGACACATTGGGGTTTTCTCTTTGGGGTTTGCCATGTTTGAAGGAGCTGAAAGATTACATAAAATCAGATAAATGAACAGGTAGCTATGAACTCTACCACAATCTTTAATTAAAAAAAAAAAAACCTCATTGGCTTAGCATTTAGCTGTCTGCAATACCCTGCTTCTCAGAAAAGATGTGCTGGAACAGACAGCTCTGCTCATTAGCCAAACTGGCAGCAATCTAATGAACTTTGGGATTTCCAAGCAATGCACATGCCTAAAAAATAGTATCATTAAATTTAATGTTTTAATGCAAGCCAGAAGTATGAAGTTAGACTCTCCTGCCTTTAGCTTGCATCTTAAGTAGTACATTTCAAGGAGCAAATCTTCTAAATATTCATCATGGTCACTGGCTTTGAATAATTTAAAAAACTCAGTTAATTTGTTTTTCCTTCTCCTATTTTTTGCTATTATCTATTTTTTATTTATTAATTTTTATTTACTCTATTATATTTTATTAGCACAATATATTTATCATTAAACTGGTCACAAAAGAACTAAACAACCTATTTCAAACATTTGTAATATTTAAAACAAGCTATTTGTAGAAAAGATGGATAGCAATGTTTTAAAAATTCAATGTTGTTCACTTTTAAATATTCTTTACTATTACAAACCTTTCAATTAATTATTAGAACTTCATGGAAAAGTGTGCTTCTATCTTTCTCAAACAGATTTCATTCAACAGGGAGAAAGCATTACAAGCTACTGTAGTTGGATAAATATTACTTTTAAATTATTTGTAGGTGCAAGACACCAGGAATGTATCATGCCAAACTATAAACAGCCAGAATATATACCCTTACTAACAGACACTCAATCTTACCTGCAGCTGCATTGGTGGATGTAACTGATGCAGAGGGTAAAGCAGAGTTTTGGATAGGTCTACCTGCATTTTCAGAGGGCAAAGAACTAGTAGTAGAAGGGATACTCAAAGGCTGTGAAAGAGATGGGTTTTTATTCAATATTTGACTCCCTGCCAGGGCAGCAGAAGGATTCTGAATTTGAACTTGAGACATGTTCACTTCCCACCAGACCAAATTACTGTAGGTAAACAGCTTTGAATGCAGGCAAACTCAGCGTGATGAAGCCAAATTGCTGACCTAAAATGTAAAGATGAAAAAAAAAAAATATATATACTAAATATTTAGCATTCTTTAGTTAACAATCTATTGAAATTATTTCTCCATTAGAAAAAAGGGGAAAAAGTGTTCAACCAGGTATCCACTGTTTCCACTTTGTATGCAACAGGTCACTTACGCACCCAGTTTTAACAGAATATTCCGATCTATATGCCCTATCATTTCAGTTTCACATTTCTTCCATTTATATAAGAAAAGTAGTATAGAAGCTTTATTTATGCCTGCTCATTTAGAATCAACTACCCCTCTGTTTTCCCCATCATTGAATCCACTTACAAAGCAAATCCAGTTACTTAAACTTATAGCCACTGCTTAGATACTAAACAAAGAGCAACTTTCATGAACAGATTACATTTCATGCATTCTAACATTTGAAGTTAAAATTTTTAACTTGGAAAGGCAAGCAATAAATGAAGTCTTTAAAAAACAACTATTTAGAGCATGCAGCCTTTATTATAATCATATGCATTTTTCCCCAGGATGACCAAGAAGAATGCCTAACCATTTATGAGGGGAAGACAACTGGTGGCCAGCAGAAAATGCCAAAGTAGCTATGGCTGGGAAAAGGGAAGGGTAAGAGTTTATAACTGTACAAGCTACATGGATTTTGAAGGTTACTTCTATTTAAGTCAGAACATGTCTCAGTCACCTCAAGCATCAGTTTATTCAGCCTTTTAACACTGTAAATAAGTGCTGAAAGTGCTCATAGGCACCTATGTTCATTTAAGAAAAAACACCTCCCAAGTGATGAACTTGCCCCAGTCGATGTAAAGTATTGTGACAGGTCTTTCCTCCACTGACAAATTAGTATCAGATTGCTCTTACATATGGATGCAACATTATCTTCATGTTCAGACAGTTAAACCTAAATATACACTAACAGGTTGCCAGTTTGAAGGCTATCGCTGCTGCCAGAGCTCAGCTGCCCGTATCTGCTTACGACCCACCTATCAATTTATTTATTAAAAATAAATTTTACAGCCCAGTAAATAACATTTTTACACACAAAGGCACACACACATGCACTCATCACCTATAGGTTTTATTAGGGCAGCAAAAGAAGGTTTATTATTTCATAATTTATAGATGAAGAGGAGAAGAGAAATCACTGTTCCAGATACCACCAGGGAGCTATTAGTAGCAACACAACTCCACTAATGCTCTGTAAGCTTCAAATTCTGAACCTGTGAATGGACTTCCAAATGTAAGAGGAGCAGCAATGAGTCAGAGTGAAGTTTTTAGCTAGTTACTGACAAAGTAAACCTGAGAGGAGAACCTAGGTTAATACATTCATGGATACAAAGATTTATTTATTTATTAAATATGAGAAGAAGAAAGAAGATAGACCAACAAATCTATCATCTGGAATACTTTTACTTTGAAAAAAACATCATAAACATGTCATGCTCATCATACTACTGGTTGGATAACTTTGATTTCTTACCACAGAGCAAAATTAGTCAGATCTCTTTAGTTCAGAAGACCTATATGTAGATTATACTCAAAACAAATCCTATATTTGACTACTAAATTTGCAGAAGTTACACACTGAGTGCATTATAACTGTGAAAAGGGTATTAGAGTGTCTGTCTTAAGGATATCCAAGAAGGTGTAAGACAAAGATGAAAAGTATGTAGAATAAGACTCCAGGGTAATAATTTTATAATCACTAAGTTTCATTCCCAGGAGCATCACTAGAAACACTGAAAATTTTCAAACATAACACAACAATTATAATTGCCTGACAAAGACTGTAAGGTCTTGCAGTGCAATAAAAAAGCTAATTCTCCTTTGCTGCTGAAGTGCAGTGCTCTTCAAAGTAACTGAAATTAAACAGCTTCTAATCCATACATTTTGAGCAGACAACACCATTTTTTTTTTTTAATTTTGAAGTCAGTAACATCAGGATCTTCAGATCATGCTGGAAAGGAAGTCTGAAATCTCAGAAAACTCTGCCTACAAGCACTTTGCTTTTAAAGCAAGGCACTCTACACTTATTTGCCATCACCTGGTTTTAGGTAACATGGAATTTCAGCTCCAAAATACATACATTAAAATTGTTTTCCAGTCAACTATCATACAAATGCAGAGAAATATCGATCCCTAGTAATTTTTTTTTTCCCCAAGAAGGGAAGTCCCTGACAAGGATACTGTTAGTTCACTTGGTATATTTATGGCAGAGTACTGTAGAACCTCACAGCAGTACAGCTCAAACTGCTCTCTACCCAGATCTCTCTGCATCAAGAGTTGCAACCACCAGCATTCAGCTTGAAAAAGCTCTTCTCCAAACACCTCTGGTTAGAATAATATTCAGGACAGACAATTCAGCCATTATTCACAAAAATCTGTGGAGACTTGAGGTCACATCCTAGTGCTTTAAACAATAAGGTTTTGGAAACTGATCCAATTTTGGACAGACTTCAGTTGTGCACATTCATTCTACAACTAGACAAAAAAAATTGCTGCAGAAACATCCATAGCTCATAACCTGCTTATTCTCAGCATAGAGACCAACTGCCCAACTTCTCTGGCAGTCTGGCTGCTCAGTCACATCTAAACAGGCTAAGGACGGACCTAGGAAAGTGTGATGCACACCTTGCTGGAACTCACCACACACTCTCTCCCAACCTTTCAACAAACTGGAAGGGTTCAGCCTTTACGTACCTTCTGGTAGTCCCAAAAGACTTCCAGCCTCACGAGAAACCAAGTATTGAGAGTTTAAGCACAGCTCACTTTACGTGTCTGTATGATGGTAACAATCCCACCCACCCTTCTCTGCAAAATGCTTGGCAATTACAAGTGTAGCCATCATTCAATGACCCAAATTACCACACAAATACCTGGCCTCTGGAGCCATTAATTCAACAAGAAAGAAAAGATGCACCCAACAGGATCTTAAGAGTGCTCAAGAGAGTGCTCATGCCTGTTTCTAAAGGTGAAGGAAGGAAAAGCTGCAATGCCTAACCAAAAAGAAGTTTTAAGGAATCAATAAGCTCTATCTGCACTTTAAATCTGAAAGCTGTAGAACACATTGCTGTTGGAGGTTTATCCCCAAGACACTCAAGCAGCTGAGTATCTGGGCACGCCAGTCTTACACCAAGGCCGAACAGAAAGTTATTATCAGGGAGAGAACTGAATTGCAATGAAAATAAAACTTTTCCAATGAATGCATCAGTTTTAACCTAAGTGAATATAATGCTTGTCTCTACATAAATTGCTACATCATTTCTACATCTTCATCGTGTTTCTCTCTCCTTCACCAATCCACCAATCTCACGTGCTTTTATATTCAGATCAAAAGTCACATCTACATCCTGTAAGTTATCACCAATTCACAATTATTTCAGAGCTCATTAAACTGAATTCAGGCAGAACCAAAGCAAAGCAGGTATTAAAAACATCTTGTGACTTGCTGAAATTCCACTTGACAAATTTCTGACAATTTTAGACACTAGGTAGTAACTTACAAGACTACACCTTACAAGTTTATATACACACAGATCTGTTGTCTTTTTAAAAACATTTAGCTCATACTTTGACAAGCAACTTCAAAGAACAGTCTGACAAAACAAACTGGAGTTCTGTTTGTATTTTTTCAGCTACCTGTGAAGTTTATGATACTGTAGTTGATTTGTGTGAAGTATTTAATTAGGGTATAAGAACTCACTGTCCATCACTGCACATTTAATTAGAGGTTATTTGGGGGTTATAAAAGGGTTGACAGTTCTTTTACAAAGTAATACACCCCCTACCCTCTAACAGGCTTACAAAATCCTAACTATCCAGGAAAAAGCACCATCATCTAGAAAGCTGAGGCTAATAACTTATAAGGGTTGTTTCAGTGGCTAGAGAAACAGAGATGCCAGTATTTCAGGTGATTTTTCTATGTAATCAGGGGTTAGCTACTTGAAGCTTCTAAAGACAAATGCTTGTACAAAAAACTGACCCCTATACAATACTGGAGGCATTGCTAGAACTTAAACAAACATCGACAGACAGGTGAACGAACAAATGTTTTACTCATACCATCTTAGCCAGTAGCTAATCACAAAACTTGCTCCTTTCCCACCTTTCCACACTTCCTTTTTGCTAACTCAGAAATTAATATTTTAGATTTCATTCAGTGTTGTGCTAGAATATTATCCTCATGACTGTAACAGCTGCCATCAAACAATTCAATGACCTATGGACAATAATAAACCTAGAGAGATGGATTTTCAGATGACAGACCATTGTTCCCCACTCCAGTTTTCAGGTTTCTATTTTCCTTTGGTACATCAATGCCTGGAATATTCCCAGAAATTTTGAATACATTAAAATGCAAAGTTCAGAAGTCACTAAGGTAACCAAAAGGCAAGCAAAGAAATGTACAGAGATGTGAACACAGTCTCAGTCTGCTCAGCCACCTTCCCATATAAAAGAAAGAATGTAGCATTTCCAGATAAAAGTTCTCTTGAGGCTTTTTTGTGTCACAATCCTCAAAGGTGTTGCAGACACAAGCCAGAGGATCAAACAAAAACCAGACACTTCCTGTGGATAACAATGTTTTACCACAACTTGTGATTTCTGTAATATGATGCAAATAAAAGGTAAGAAACTTTAATGTTTTAAGTAAGTTTCCTGTACCTTTAGGAGATCCAGAGAGTGAAGATTTGGGTTTAGTTCTGAATAGGATATTTATGATGGAGAATGCCTAAAAGGAAAAACAGAGAATTAGTGTTTTGCTTCCTAAAGCTCCAAAAAGACCTTCTGTAGCAAATGTGTCACCACTACACTGAGTTGTCTCATCCACTTGGATGACAAGAATTTGTATGACCATTAAATTCTCACCGACACACTGCTCAACAGAGCTATGGTTTTCCAAGCAGAAATTCCAATCTGATCCAAGAATCTTCTTTCCTTGCTTTTTGCCCAAAACCAAGTGATTTTTCTTACACAAACAGTGGAATCTCACAATAGTGCTCTTTGCAGAGTTATGAGAGTCACTTGCAAATTTTCTTTCTGTAGTAAGGCTTCCAGTTCTGTAGAAGTTAACTTTCTTCCTAACAGCCCTAGAAATCAGCTACTGAAATTAGACCTAGACCTTAATTCACAAAGCCAAACCAAAAGGAAGCCACTAATCTGAGAAACTGTGGCAGCTATTAACTGCAAAAATATGATAAAAATTTTATCTTTTGGCTGCACTTCCAGTCTAATGATTTAACTCATAAATAGGTGTGTAAAAAAAAATAAATATCAACCTAGCTAAAACCATTTTAGAATAAACTTCAGTGCTGAATATGAAACCTGTCACTGCATGGACTGCTCTAAATGGAAAGCAAAATGTATTTTATTCTGCTTACAAATATAGCACAAAGTGTTTAATCCTTCTTTTCCATGACCAAAGCCAACGGCGCGCAGATGCGAGCAACATTACTACCGGCAACAAAATGGGTAAGATCTCAACCCTGCTTAGGGTTAGAAGACGACGTAGACAAACAAGCTCTTGAATTTACTTCAGACAACCATTTCAAAATCCTACAATGCATCTTAGAACTGTAACCAGTTATCCTGGAGGAGTCTTGCAGAACAGATGAGGATACAGAGCCTGAAAAAGGCAGACATGGTGCCTATTTTTAACTGGAGAGTGAAGAAGGGAGACAGAGGATTACAGTCCTACCAGTTCAACTTTTCTTCCAGAAATTTTTTCTGGAGGCTTAATTAAGCACCTGGAAAAGAAGGAAATGGATGATACTCCCAGGTGGGATCAAAACCAAGTTGTATAAAGACAACTGAATTTTCTCCAGCCATCTCTGGTGGTCTACCCAGGCTCAAAAATGAATCACTTGATCTCAGCA